GATTCTTGATCTGCTAACATCTAACTGGAGATCAGTTAATACTTATTGTCAGGATCGATCAAGAAATAAGAAACGGAAACTTGTTGAAATACTTTATGCTGAGAATTCTATGTTGTACCAAAAATATAATATTGAATAAAGCCACCAATGATGAGATCTACTAAACTGACATCACTATTGCTTTCCATAATGATCACAGGAGTTGCTACCTAGGAAGATGAAGCAAAGTCACGAAAAACGTTATCTCCAGGTCATATGACATAACATAGAATCAGTAAAAACGATTACTTTGACCTAAGCACCAACAAACTCAACAAAACTACCGATTGAACATATCAGAACGCTGACCGATGCATCATCCATCGTAGCCTTCAGATATGGCTGGGGACCTACACAACGTTTGAGTCAGCATGTAACTTATAAGTACAAAACCACCTTCGTAGTCAAATTTCACCTTTTGTGTCACATTACCCTGATCAGGTGATAGAAGTGTAACGAACATGGTCCAGGTGTTTAGCCTTAGTGCAGCAGATGAAGTAACAAAATCGAAAATATTTTTGGCCTGAACCACGTCGCTCTTCTGTAGAGGGGAAGAAGCTTCTTTTGTTCGTTGATAGTTATGTAATCACCTACTTACACCTGTCGCTCCTCGTGGAAAAGCACAGGCCTCCCACCAGCATTCTCCATCCAACTCTGTCTTGGGAAGTCGTTCTCAGTTGTTATTCGTCCTTTTCATGTCTGCTTCCAATGAATTCTTTAGTCTCCTTCTTTTCCGTTTGACTTCAGGATTCCAAGTTAGCACTTGCTTCGCGATGCAATTTGATTATTTCTGAAATTTTTGTCCGATCCTCACTGAATGTCTTTCCTTATTTTCTTGTTTATTTGAAAGCTCGCATTTTTCTCTTCCACATTTGGTTGTTTCTAATGGTATCCGGCCAATGGACGGTGAGTATCATGTGTAGACAATTATTTATTAATATGTAGTGGCATTGGGCCCTAATACGAGACAATGTGGGAAATAGACATTCAACAATTAACACGGAGAAAAAACCAAATATGAAGAGGGCGGGAAGAAGCAATTGAAGTAATTGGAGTCGATCGTATGACATGGTTTGGCCATGCAGGCGTGTTCCGTGCTGAATGTTACCCTATATCTTCTATTCATATTAAATATATTGTTCTATTCCTAGCCTAAGTCTGTTTTCTATCATGCATTGGTGATTGTTACGATGTAGTGAGTTGGTGTAGACGATGATGTGACTTCCACGTGAGATCTTATAGATTAGGCAGTTATATCGTGACAAATCTATAATTATAGGGCTAGGTTTATTATTAGAGCAGTACTAATATCACAGTAGACCATAATTCTACAAATACATGATGTTTGTCGCGTTATGTGTACAACTGATGTCAATAGATATAAGTAGTATGTATCGCCAATCGAAAGTGATATACCTGGCAGCAGAAGGTTAGGAAGATCGAAGGAAAGTGAATGAGAGCAGTGAATGATTGCTGTGGAAATGAAGGAAAAATGAAGTCTGATACGACTGATTGACATTTGCTAAAGGAACAGTCAAGGTTGAGACGATTGATTGACACTTTACAAAATAAGTATTTACTGTGTAGTGCTCAGATTCTTTAAGATGTTGTATTCAAAATCATTTGATTGCCACCACTAGTGTTCTGGTTCACTACAGTGGTGGTTCTCCAAGTTTATGTCTTTACGTTTCTATTGAAGTTGCTGACTTTGGCATTTGTTGATATTTGTTTTGAGTTCCATATATTCTTTCACTGTAAGAGTGCTGCACTCGCTTCGCCAATCCCTGCATTTTCGCATGCATCTGATGCTTCTTGTTCATCGATGATGCTTTCCAGGTACATGGAAGTTTCCGAATTTTTCAGAGTTCTTCTATCAAGTATGATTGGATAGGTTAACTGTTACATCAAAGTGAATTCCCAAAATAATGTAACGATAATGAGTAATGATAATAAATTATATTTGAAAATACAAAGTATCTCAAGACTGATAATATACCACTAAGGAGTCATGATTTCCTGTGTTACTAAATAATGGATCATACGGAGAAAAGTATTAATTGCAGTTATTACGTACTTGACAATCAATATAAATTTTCCTAACGAAATGGGATCATAATTCTGTTTAAACGAAACGAGTCGAAGAAGTTTTTTAGCAGATAGTTAGACAGCAACAGTATGAAGTCAGTTCACTTCATAACATTGAGATCCGTCAAAAAGTCCTTGTTAAAACTCTTTGATCCCACAATAACAAGAGGTAAGCAACCCATCGCTGTCCCACAGACTCAGAGTGAGGTTCCTTTTTTCTCATCGAGTGGTCAACAACTAGGACACCCCACCCGAATCAGTGGTATCAGCTCCATCAGTGGACATTTCAGAGGAGAAGCTGGACCTTCATTGGAAAACAAACTGTGATGATTAAAATATTTTCACCAACCTACCATCTTTATTATCGAAGACTGAAAACAGTCAGATCAAAAGTCAGAAATGGAGTTTGGATATATATTTGGCGAGTCATTGATATGCAGAGAAGATTTGAATCAAAGCTGGCTAATAGTCTTGAGGGATGCGTAGCACGGTGAACCCAAACGTCATTTGGTGCAGATGAATGGTCGGGCAATTTCGGATAGGGACGTGTATGAGTGAAATGAAGAGGTCGATACTGATGTCGACGACTTAGCGGAGTACATATACCGTGGGTTTATTTACCGCTACACACCATAGCTTTCATAATTTTCCCTACTATAACGGATAACTGGTAATTTTCATTGATAAACTACACTAGAGGGGAGATCCATCGAGGATAAAACGAGAAAAAATTCACACCAAAAAGCACTTTTTAAGTCAGAAAGTTATAGAGGCTTCTGCCAGAAGTTATTGGTTCGAAACCTTCTGTATCCTTCAAAAAACAGCCTAAAGATAACTTTAGCTCTCTACGTATTGAAGTATGTCACTCTTTATGTTGCTATTCATACTCGCCCCTCACCTAAACAAGGCCGCTCTCCTACTACTAAGACACAAGTCTCTGAGATCACTTCACTAGACCATTTCAAAGGTCAAGGTTTGAAGTTAAGGATGACGGCTAGAATTGTGTGTTGCTAGGACTGTCAGTTGCATTCATTTTAATTCTTAACATGTCAGAAAAGTGGGAGGTTCGGATCGATCATCCGATCAAATCATACGCTGAACTCATGCTCCAGCTAGATTTGTTCTTGTGCAGCATGTAAGGGGTTTATAAGCATATTCCACCAAGCATATATATGCTTCTTAAACAATCAATAAGAGGTTAATAAGAGCGAACAAAGTAGAAAATATGTTGGACGTACGTTATTTTATATACGTATCTGAAAATATACGAACGGGAGGCGGCATATTTGGGTATGTACGTTACGTAAGTTTGTCTACAAATTTCCCCTGAATAAACGATGTAAGGAGGCAATCAACATTTACACTTTATTTACGCTTTCTTTAGCCTTATCTCTCTTTGTTTGTCTCTGTTTCCACTTTATTGGTTGCTTGAGATTGCTTGGAATATTTAAATATTTTAAACAAAACAAATATTTTGCCTTGTCAGCGTAAAATAGTAGCGAAAAGTGTTAATTTATCTAACATATCCCTTTCAATTATTCCGCTTTTCATTCCGTTTGGTGTGTAATCCCGATTCATTGAACTGCTGATGATTGTGGTTTCTATTCTGAGACTGTTCTTCAAAAAAGTTCCCTACAAACTTTCTACTGCTAGTGTTCTGACAAGCATTTGAAATTAGTAGACATTTCTCAACTTAAAATTGAAAGTTTTGGTGATCACAGTTTTTTAAATTACAGAACAAAACTGCTATATCTAGAAATACTCAGTTAACAAGTCATCATATTTCAGTAATAGAGGAAACGATCTCTACAGTCTATCTCTATTTGTTAGAAGTTATCCCAACATACTACTTCGGTATACTACCGATGCAACTGTAGTTATACTGTTCCCTTATTCGCTAGACATAGTATTACCAATCAGTATTTATTCATGTGTAATTCTTCAGTGGCACGAAAACTCCGTATTCGATAGTAAGATTCGTCTAGTTTTATGTGGGTATCCTGAGCTAAAACATTTGATACAAAACGTCTTCCGGAGCACGGAAAATATCATTCTGTATGTTAGGATTGTTCACACCAGTAACAGATGACAAAGAAGACTATTTAAGAAAGCTGGTAGTAAACAAAACGGAATTTAGTGCTAAACGTGATGTAAAACGATCCGACATACCATGGCAGTCAGCACCGCAATGCTATTTTTCATTGTGTAATCTCGCTGTGGTCATCCGGCTAGTTTTCAGAACTCAACATTTATTAGTCGCGAAAAGTCAGCTAGTTTTAAACTTCTTGTATTTCGTGAAGCTTTATCTTTTGGATTAGTGTCACACATCGGTGTATTAACTAATTTTATCACAGTTTTTATTTTTTCGTAGCGAAATATCTCATATAATTATCCGTATGTGTAGCATAAAATGACTTAAGTTCGATCAGTTACAGAAATGCAGTTTCTTTCAAACAACTACATGATCACTGTCACTTTTATACTTCGATATTCATGCAGCCACTCCTTCTGAAGTATACCATTGATATCACTTTAAGTTGTATGATGTATTTCATTTATTTATTTGAGAACATACGAGTGTACCAGAGCTTAGACGTAGTCATAGTTTAAGTAAGGCAGCTTTTCCGAGCAGTAGTTCGTATATATAACTAACGTTTTACCAAAGGTCACTCAGTCATAATTGTCTTCGATTTTGGTTGAAGTTGCTACTAGCCAGTAACAGGCAATCGCCAGAATATTTATGGCAAGCGATCAGATTTACCAGCTCACCAGCTTGGATTTCCTATTTAAAATTAACAGAAGTAGTCATATCGAGTAATATCATCTCTCTCTTTTTGGCTTCTAAAGTGTGACAAATTGTTCACGTTCACCACAAAATGAGTCAAAAATACAATCACGAGAAGAATTTGCCTAGCAGAAGAGAAATTTGTGAATGGGATGACAATGTTGCTGATACTAAACCTTTCAGTCAAAACAGTCCTCGTGATAAATTTGTAAAAGGTAGCAGTCATCGAAGTGATTTATCAAAAAGTTACAAGGAATCCGTTCTCTCTGATAACTGGTCAGCAACAAACCGCGTCTCATCAAATGGACATGAAACTTGTGATGATTTTGATGATAGTAACGTTGAAGGTCTCGTGAGTGATGATGACAATGACTTTGATGAAGATGATGATGCAGAAGATGAGGACTGGGTTGCTTCCGATTATGAGAAAAAAGTAGGTCAATTTTGGTTATTTATACTTGAAACCCCAATGTTTTTACATCGTAAGTGTGATCTTAAATGTACATAGCAGGTCGAAAGAAAATTTATTGTTTTGTGGCTGTAATAAGATGTAATAGTACAGTATGATATGCTATTTCTTTCTCAGGTGTTCAACTATACTTGTTTGAGACGTATATAGTCAGTTCGTTACATTTCACACGACATCATGAAGGAAAGTTGACCTGAAAAGGAACAACTGGATGGGGATACTATTTCAGTGAGAAACTGCTTTAGTCAATTAATCTGGTGTCCAAATTTTGTAAAGTTACTTACGTGGGTTTATTGAGTTTAATTTACTCACGTTTTAGCATATACCTCTTAGTAAGTGTAGCGTCCAAAATATTATTTTGTAACATGTTTCACCTTGACAATCTAGCATTAGAATTAAACGCAATCTATCGACAGTTGAACGTTCACATTTGCTTTGGATTGAAGGAAAGTTAGCGATAATCATTATAACGATGTCTGACAAAAAAGTATTGGATGAATTTTAACTAGAAAATGTACATCTTTCCCATTTCGCAAAACATTTTGTGCGTGATATGCTCAATTGTATTCATTTAGGCACGCTAAATCTAAATTCAACAGTTAAGTCTCCTTATTTCTTTTCCTGATGTATACAATAGTTTTTTTTATTTCCTATTAAAATCAAAGGTAGTCATGTTTTATGGTCGGAAATTTTTCTAATATTTAGTGTCGAAGCTGGCTACTTTAAATTACTGTGGTGTTTTCCTATTTAAGCATAACGATTTATTAACACTAAAATTTATGTGCATTGAGCTACAGTTAAGAGATTTGTAAACTGTATTTAAGTTATCATACTAAGTATTGATTCCATCCTACTTCATCATTAATTCTATCATCTGTACATCTCCATCTGATTTTTTGATGATAGTTTAGTCAATTATACTCTGTCATTCGTATAATCTCAGCATTGTATGCCTGCAAAAAACAAAGGACCTGAACATCTAATCAATTGTCATGCAACTCTTATCAGACTCCGCTCTAAAAATGGTACACAAAATGTGAAGTCTAGTAGTCTAAATCATTTTTTAAAAAAATATTCCTCTAAAATAATTCAATTGATCAGTTTTCTATATTAGATAAGAAAATGATATTAGGTTTCTCAAGGTTGGCCTTATTTTGTGGATATTAGTAAGAACCGAAATTTTAAGGATTAAATGTAGTTAACTAGATAATGTTAATGTACTCCACTGTGTAGAAGTATAGAACATTATTCATTGAAACGTTCAAGATACTTGTCATTAGCCATAATAAACATAGGTGGCTATTGCTTAGAACGTGTAATTCCTATCTTTCTACAGTTTTATGTGCTTCTTCGCAACATTACTCTAAACCTTTTGGACCTTTTTATTTATTCATTTGAAGACATAAATGCTGATACAAAAGGGTACCAAATACACATGCGTCACACAAGTCACTTGATTTGTGTGGGGAGTAATACTGCCCGAGTGCCCAGACCGAAGCAGATGATATTTTGAACGATTGGTCTGCGAATGTAGTAGGACTAACCACTCGTATTATCGTTTGGTATACCCGAACATTATTAATTATAACTAATTGTACTTCACTGTAACTGAAAAAGTTGTTCTCTTTTATCGTCTTAATGAAATAATTTCGCCTAGGTTTTCAATTGCGAAGCTTTTGTTCACTCTAAATTACCAATTTTTTTAGCGTCCTAGTCGCACTTCTCGAACACAACTCACTGGTTCACGTAAAATTGGAAATAGTTGCAGTTCACATCGCAAAAGTTCACATGGAGATCGTTCTCAACGTAGAATTGGCAGCAGTTTGCCAAGGACAGCTGCTTACAATCAGGGAGTAATCGTATTGTTTCTTCCAATAAATCTTCCAAATCCGTTGGTCGACCTAGAACTGTTAATCGCTATCAAGGTGGAAGTGCTAGGACTGTTCATGCATCATCTGGTCGTAAGATTTCTACACGTCGAGTTGAAAAACCAAAGACAAATAATACCAACCCACGAAAAGTATTTGATTCACTAATACCTAACGAACTAAAAAAGCCTCGACAATGTTTCGGTCCTGGATGCACTCGAGCTGCAGCAAGACCAGATACTAAATATTGTTCAAATGAATGTGGACTTAAACTTGCCATCAAGTTTGTAGCTTATCTGTACTTTGCTTCATTTACGAAATATTTTGTTTATAAATCACATTTTTAAACTCTAATGACTTAAAAATGTTTAGAAGTAATAAGACGAAAATCCATTATAAAAACATTTACTGTGTCTCCTCCAAATCATTATCAAGCAGTCTATAAAGGCGTAATTTATCGCTTCTTTTATATATGCCGGTACAATACTATTTCATAACACTTAAAGCACCCAACCTTTAACTGTTTGATTATTGATTAAGATCATGTGAGGCTCCTTTGAAAATTTCGAGTGACTCACTGTTTTTACTAGTCCTACCTCAATTGTTATAGATTGCAACCTATATTGCTATGACCATTAGTACTAGGCGTTATTTATGACATAAAAGCTGAATACATATACAGTACCTAAGTTGAATCTGGAACTCATTTTTCGGGTTTGAACGATCTACTCATGGGCGGAAAGTCGTAAAATGAACATCTGTTGTGGCATCTAACTCATTTACTTGATCAGTAATACCTCCTTATATATTGCCTGTCCAACAAATACGCGAATCGGTCTAATAGTACTGTCAGTTACGGACGATTATAGAGTTTCTGTGTTGATAAACATATCAGACTTGTATGGCTCTGCGCGCGTTCGGGTCGTTGGTTCACTACCTGAGTGGTTACTGATGAGTTGAGTCCAGAAAAATCAATCGTCTGCACACATAATTCTGTGAGACATTCAAGGCTGTGAATTTCTGTATGAAACTTTTGCTAAAGTCGCTGTTAGCTAACCAACAGTTAAGAAAAACTTAGTCCCTTATAGAATGCGAATGATGTGTGTATGGTTTCACGTAAAGTAGCGAGCCTGACTTTCACTGACATCTTGGACAAGGAAAACAAATGAGATAATTATTTTTATACAAATAGGGAATACTTTGATAAGAAATTGAAGTAGCTTAAAGTCTTCAAAATAAAGTTTCTCATGACCTCAGTTCACTACTCATTACAGAGCTTTTTAAGACTGATAAATTACACATTTTCTTTTTTAGGCGCTTAGAAACTCTACTACCAGAAAGTTTTCATGCTTGGTATCCTGACTTGTTTACGAAAGCTGGAACGGCTCTTTCTGAATTAGAAAGGCTACCGGATTGTATGGCTACCGTTATTGACAAATTGCGTCTTAAAGAAATTAGTAAGGAACAGTGTGTAGTACACAATCGGTTGGTTGAATTAGAAATGGAGCATCAAAAGCTTACGGCACTTATTAGTCGAGCTCAAGAGCGAAAAACTGGACGAAACAATGAACAAATGGTAATTTCTCTCATGTCAGGCAATTTTTGATTTGTATGTCCATAATTTTTTTCTTGTCAGTGTATTATTTTCACTCCTGGTTTCACTTTGTAGTTCAGTTCTCTCTGATTGCGCTGATGTATAATGAGTTAATTCGAACTGATACATTTTCATCCTAGGTATTACGTAGGTATCAGTTAGCCAATCATTGAAGATGACAGAGTACTGAATGATTCTGTTGTCGGATTCCAGATCATAGTAGGTAATACTAAGCTCGAATATGTAGTATATTTTTTTAAACTACTGTTTTCACAGAGCCAACTCTTTGTTCTTGTCAGGTGCACTTGTGTATAAACTCATGTATTTATCAGTCTATAATGTTTTCATTATCATTATTAAGCTTGCTGCGGTTGCTCACGACGCAGAACAAGTAGAACAGATGGAACCCATCATATGTGTTACGTGCTCAGCTGAAATCAGTATGCGACATGCTCTGAAGCATATGGAGAAATGTTTTCAAAAGGTAAGTTAGAGTAACTCAATATTTATCGTTTGTTTGCACGTTTTTTTTAATTTATGCACAAGATCTACGAATGTTTTTCTCATGAAATATGTTTCAGATGGAAGGAAACACTGTATTTTGTGCTAATCAAAAGGAGCAAATCATGGGTACACCATTATTTTGTGATGCTTACGACTCACAGGCTAGAGCGTATTGTAAACGATTACGTGTAGTCTGTGAGCATTATAAAGAACCGAAGCTACCTGCAGATACAGTATGTGGATCACCGCTTGTTCACAATGTCTTTGAAGAAACTGGTGAATTTTGTTGTGTACCGCGCAATAAGTGCACTAAACACTTTGGTTGGGAACGTCTACGTCGAGCGAAAATAGATTTGGAACGATATCGCTGTGTAAGTAATGTTTTCTAATAGTTTGTTCGCAAATTGTCTCAGTTAGATAAACCTATTATAATAAGACCATGAAACAAATAAATTGACAAAATGATTCTGCAACTTTCAATCTTGTGCTGTTAATATACTGAAATAAATTAATGTTAACCTGTTGTTATTTCTAAGACACCTAGTTCTCAAACTGGAGTGTCGTTATGGTCGCTTGACTGATTTGGTACTGATAAACCCTGCAGCGGATGACGGAACTAAGAACACAAAGCCATGTATCATCTTAGTTTTTTTACCCCCAAAGTAAACTAAAATTATACATGAATATACTACTCTGTACATAATTTATGTGCAGTCAGATTTATACGAATTGAACTGAGTAGTATTTAACATCAATTAATAACTTACTGTCTCAACACATATTTACAATGCTACACAGTTAAGCATCTATATCTAAAAGATCGGAATAAATTACATAACTTCTACTCAGGATGCGATTACATGTCACAGACGACTTGAAAAAAGTCTGTAGTGTTAGTCATTAGTTTTAGCCCATAATATATCTTATTCTAGTTTTCGGACATTCCATTCTATTCATTCTACTTGAGTCATATTTTGACCTTGTCAATTATTCGCTTATCAGTCTTGACTGTTTTTATATGAGCGTATATGTGTGTGCCCTTCTTATTCCATTAATCACATGTCTGTAGCTTTATTTTGTCTGACTATAAATATTGAGTAACGCTCGACTAAAATGGAGTTGGCTTCCCAGCCATCTTCCATGCGTGTCATCATTTTGCTTTGCTATGTTTCATTCGCTTCATGTACGAAATATATGTATTCTCAAGTCAATTCTCGTTATTCGACTTATTTAATTCCGTTATTGGATAACGCGATTTAAGTCGACGATGATATACGAGAATAGGCGATAACAAACATTCGTACGCTCTAAATGGAGTCGAGAACTACGGGCTACAAAAAATGGTGAGCCCTTCAACGAACATCGTCCGATCTAAACGACGACAAAACAACGGGCCACAAAAAGTCAATGTCATATGTTACTCTCACTCCAATCGATTCAGTACTTGCTTACCATCTCAGCTATTTATTTTCGATTGACGAATCAGTTAAAAATAGCAGGGAAACAACGATAAAATATTAATTTGTTCAAAAGCTGAATATGGTAGCTAGGCCCCTTAACAAACTTTTAAGCCTGTGGATTTAAAGCTGTTTAGCTAGAATACTAACGGAAAGTAAGCATAAATATCAGAGTAGAAATCGTTGAATAAGTGTATTCTAAGTGCTTGTGTCTAATATGTCATACTATTATATTTTTGAGTGCTAACTAGGTATCTCATTTTGTTAGCGAAATGTGTAAAATACTCCTTTGGTATGTTAAATAAGCTGTTTGGCATACATACGTTCCCACGTCTCGGTTAATTAGTAAATTATGTCAAGATAAGCTGGTTCAAATTACTGTCCAAGCACATTGGACAATCGTTTTGGAGCTTAGAAAAATCCACTCAATGACAAACGTTTTTATATAAATAATCAAAAAATGACTCTCAGTATGGAAATGATTTACTGTACTTATTATTGAATTAGCAATTTGAGATAGACAATGTAACGGTCGGTTTTCTTTTAGTTTACATTTTATTCTAATCACATGACTTCGTTACAATTTTCTTTTGCAATATTGTTTGTCAGCTAATTCAAATGGATGAATTAATGCAAGAGGAACAAAGACTACGACGTGCCATATCCCAACGTGGTGGTGTACTTGGCATTTTGCTACACCAAACTATTGATCATAATCCTGAAAAACCAGTTCCCATCCCAGGAGAATTAAAAACATCTTTGAAAGATAAAGAACGATCAGATATTTGACATTTCTAAAAAAATTTGATTTGACTGTACATAACAATAGAATTTATTTGTTTCTTTTGTACAAAATGTTTTTTCTATGATCTTATTGCTTTTTCTTAAAACATAATTTGCGCACTATACATCTTTCTCCTATACATTTCCTGTCTTGTGTCTGCTTTTTGCTCCTCAGTCATTCGTAATGCAATGTTATTCATGTTCGTGATTAATGGTAACTTTACAGAAATTACTTCTGATTAGCGTAAGAATGTTTAGGTAAAGCTGTTTTACAACATTTTGCGTTAATACTGGGTTTATCTATTTCGTGAATAGAATCACATCAACAGGTTTGAGTTCAGTTTACTATTTAGAACTAGTTCCTGAAATATTGTTATTGAAGTTAGGTAAACTTGTACCCCTATTCCTTTCAGTAGCCTACAATGTGCCATAGCATAATTACATGGCTACACATATCAATTAGTCATTAAGATCAACACTTAAGGCATCATGATTCGATCTGCACTATTAAGGACTTGACACACATGACATTGATCAACACCCAGTGATCAATCAATTGTGATTACATCTCAGTTCTATAGGAGGTCGGTTGCAGCCCGGATAGCCCAATGGTAACGTCTCTGACAGAAGCTGGGTGACACGGAATCGAATCCGTCAGGGAGCACCAGTTCCCTCAGGTACACCTTGCTGACGAGTGCCAAGTAGCACGAAACCCGGACCTAGTGTTTCCTATTGACTACATCCAACCACCATCTTATTTTGTTGTTGTTGTAACGTGTGAGACTGCAGGTTTTGATAAGCAGCGTATTTATCGATCGCTTCTGTGACAGTAGACACGTAGTGGACGACCTAGTGCCCTGATTGGCCCTGCTTCGCTGTCTGTCCTAGCCAGTTGAGTCAAGAACGCAAGTCACAGCCTTTGAGTTATGAATCGTTGTACTTCAGATATACTCTATTTATATACCAAACAAACAAACCACATCGTACCATAAAATAGGAAACAACATTTACAAAATATTTAACAAGTGAAATAAACATCGACCAATAAGAAATGTACATTTAAGGTCCAAGGCCACCATAGACTTAACACGATAATTATTGGTATATTTTTCCCACTATCCTAACAGTTGTCATTCCTAGTTTAGGTTGAAAAGTTTACTAGCCATTCAAATTATCGTTAAAAATGAAAAAAAGTAATGGCTTTTGCGGATTCACTAATATCATAACAACCCAGAAACTCAGCAAAGTATATCTCGTAGTTTGCACACATTGGATAAATACGGTACGGTCCAATTAGGGGTTTCGGTAAACTCTGGCTCGACACCACTGGTATGTCTGGGCATACAAACCTACGTTAGTTACCGACCATTAAAGGACTATATCTGATGTCGCAACTTCGCGTAACGTAATAATCCATACCAGTTAACCACTGTTGTTATTATTCAAGATGAATGTTTCAATTAGAGTTAACAGTTTATATTCAAACATAAAATCACAGGTAATATATTTATAATACATAAGTAAATTACGCATACAGCGTTACGCTAACAAATTGAAATCAATTATGTAAGATCAACCATTTCAGTTGAATGTATTCTTTTTCGTTTAGCATCTACGTGAGAACGCTTTTCCGTAACTTTGTTTTATCCAATTCTTCCTTAATTGATAATAAATAAGGCATTAATTCAATGTGTTCATTATCAACTGAATTGTCATTGTTTACAACATAACAAACAGTTGAATATGGTGTAAAATGAAAATCTAATTTTAAGTATTGTTTAATTAAACACCAAGATATGAAATGTTCATAAAATTGACGTTCAGGTTTTTCTTGATTTCTATACAATAATTTTTGACTGATAGATTGTATCTGCTTATTACAAGTCATAAGATCAATCAATTTAGGGCCAGTTATCCTTTCTTGTTTTGTTAAACTTTGATCAAATAATAATTGTTTTGTCGCATTCAGTAATTTATCTGTTTTTATTTGAATCAACGTGGATACATCTATATAAAAATAAAACATGAGAAGTTGGAAATCGAGTCAATGTTAAACAGTGAAGGGCTTGAGATAAATGTGTATTGATTCAAGTCATTAAACTTTAGATTAGTACAATGAAAGCGGTAATCAATAAGACAAGTAGAGCAAATAAAATGATGATAATGATTGCAATGGACAGTTGAATATAAAGGATATAATTTTTTAAAAAAATGAATCCAAAGTATACAATGATACTAAGCTCAATACCTAATCAATGATAAGCAACGTGGACCTGGTGCATTTGTCGCACCATATCAGCACAAAAAGAAATTAATCAAAACAATTTTCAGAGAGTATTAGAGCTAGTAACAGTATCAGTTTTAACAGAGAAAATTAGGCATAATATGATTTGAGAGAAGTTAATCTGCAGAATGGAAAAGTATAAGACAGTTTCTTAACTGAAGATCAAAGAGAAAACAAAGAGTGAACGCATGAGCCATAGCACCCAAAGTCTGCAACTGCTGGCTATGATTATCGAGTAGGCACCAACCAGGTAGTCCGCATCTACCTAAAAGACTCAGTCTAACAATTAGTGATTTCATGGACTGATGCCATGTTTGATTTTGATCGCTCCAAGCTACTTCTGCATCAGCCAAGATTTTAAATTGAGGTAGGCGGTGGCTGAGCTTAATTAGTACTATTGAGGTAGTCCTAAAATATCCTGCTATCAAAGTTTCGAGAGGCCCAGGAACTCGAGAAAACGTTTTACTCAATAAACGTTACGGTTTAGCAGAAATATCTAGGATATGCTGAGTCACGTGCTACGGTTTGGACTGGATATTTACTTATACTGTCACTGTATTTAGTATGGTTCCAGAAATATCCAGAAGCCCAAGGTTATGTGTAGCTCAACGAATAGCTTCGTTTTTTCTGTACGTGAACTAACCTTAGAGTAAAGCTTTTACTCACAACTCGCGCCTTCTCCCTATTGTTCCACTCGATGTGTAAGAATAGTTGGGGTTACAATAACCCGCTAGGAATACAGTTCAGGTGTATTGGTAGAAAGACTTATCAAATAGGTTTCCTCCATTTGGTCTTATATCATAATTATGTCCATCAGGTGAAAACCGTGACAAAGATAGGGAGTGATTATCACAAAATACTGAAATTTTGCATCGTAAATGTCTCCACTTTATTTTGTAGACTATTGTGGTGAAATTCACCTTTGAAATGCATAAATCACTAAGAGAAGATTTGACTCTTCAAGAAAAGGTGTTACCGTTAAGTTCTACATACTTCGATTTCAACTTTGGATGGATGATCCATGTATAACGACTTGTCACTAAGTGTAATCGACCACCTAATCGAGAATAAAAAAGTAGTCTATTTATGTGATTCAATATTTAATATTGGACAGTTGTAAAACAGTAATTAAGGAGATCAACTGATATAATCATTTGATTTACATTGAAAATATGTGACTCACCCGACTTATTTGTGCTTTTACGTTGACAATTGTCACAAGCATTTTTACAGTCATCAGTAGACCAAGAAGCATCACCGAGATTTTTCGAAATTAAAAAACGTCTACACATATCCGGATCAATACAATATCCAACCATTTCATAAAGTTTTGCAATTCCTGTTCGTTCAGATGATACCATGCTGGCTAAACGAAATAGATCTGAAAAACGCCACATTAATATACAATCCGCAGAGTTCGAATCACGTCCTGCTCTACCTGATTCCTGATAATAATTTTCTAGACTTTTGCTTGAAGAAAAGTGTATTACAAAACGAACATCAGCTTTATCTATACCCATACCAAAAGCTACAGTGGCAACAATTACCTATGAATATTAGGAAAGAGTCATAAACGGAGAAAAAAGTTGACGATTCCAAAAATACAATAACTGGAAAAAAAAAGAAGCATATATAGACGAGTGGGTCATGTAAGAATATTATATTATGAAGGAAAATGGATATCAATTCGATCGTCAAATTTAATTAAAAAATGCTAAGGAGAATCAAGTATATAATTCAGTCAGTTATATTTTCTGGCTTCACTAGTTTAACTTTACGGTATTGTTTCCGTTTAGCTACTGATTAATTATTGAGTAAGTCTTAATCGATTGAATTTACTCAAAATGTGACCATTAATTAATATAAATGAAACCTATACATATATATTTGCACAGCTTCGGGTTTACACAAACGAAACTTAGACCCTCTTCTTCATTTCTAATACTTGTTTCTTAATTATCTGTTAACAAAGCCGTTACCACGATAGCATCATAGATGACTATAAGTTATGCTGACAACTTCAGTCCGAAAAAGAGAATTTTCAATCTTTTAAGACACGAACTATCACAGTCTGTTCGAATCAGTCTACTAGGGAGAATCTTTATTTGTACCAAGCACTTATGAGTGGAAATTCTGTCGTCCTTTTTTGTAAAATAATGTTTAGTTATAATGGATTTGTAGGAGCAGAAATAGAACCACATTAGAAAATAAAAAACATACTCAATCACTGAGTTTTTTGCTGAGCTGGTCAAGTGAATGGATGTTCAAGAACGTTAAAAGACTATGATTCTACTCACAAATGCTTTTTTAATTATTTCCAGTAGCACAATCAATATATGTATTTCAAAATAGTATTTAAAACAAGTTCTCAAGTATGCTCGGAAGATTTATCAATAATTTTCATAAATAAAATACAATGAATATAACGTACTTGAATTCTTCCTTGACTCCAATCGGAATGAACTCTAGATCGATAATTAAAATCTAAGTTAGCATGATATGGAGCTACTTTTAACCCGAAATTCTTTAGTTCTGAAGAAACATCTTCAGTATCTTTTGAGAAAAACAATACACAATGCCTAGAAATATATGAATAGGATAAAGACGGATATATCAGAAATCATTAAAGACTAAGTAAATAGTTTCCATATAATAAATGGATTTCGGCTAACAGTGAAATCCAGGACGAGCAATTCATCCTATTTTGGGACTCGTCAGCTAAACTTGCCAACATGTGAGCGTTGATGTTCGAATGGAGTACATTCTGCAAAAAAACACGCAGCGGTAAATAAATCCACAAAATAAATATTCTTGTAACTCATCAACATTGATAGAGACCTCATTAGTTTTACTGAAAACATTCCAGCTAAAGGCGCTCAGTCACGCATCCGCACCAGATCACGAGTTGGTACGCTGCGCAACACATCCAGCCTAGACCAAACGCTTCTCAACATATGGACAACCTGCCAAATATATCTGCGAACTCTTTCATTTCCGACTTCTGACTTGACTGGGTCGGTACCCTTCACCTATAAAGGCGTTGTCAAACTCCGAATACATGTGGCATCGTTATACCAAACACATTAACCACCAAATCCAAGCATGAATATCAATTCTGAAATGCAGCTACATCAAGCAGACGATTCCCCAAATAATACGGAACGACTCAATTGCTAGCCACAATCTACCTATCCTTTAAAACATGTAGTGAAATAGCTATTAGATTTGTTAACTCTGGACATTATTATTGCATAGTGTTGTAAAAAACAAAGTCTTTACTCAAATAGTCGGGTTAAATATATACAACCATAGTGGTACCCTATGTTCTTTTTATGTCGTTTCATATGTTTAAAATCACTACTAAGTTATTATTAAAGTAGTGTATCGTTTTTTGACATCAGAAAAACTAACTTAAAATCAACCTTTCTCTGATAATGTGACGAACTCAAAAATTAATTTTCTAACATCTCGATATAGATAAACAAACGAACGCCTATACTCAGCTCAAATTAACACAAAACGATAAGACTCTATGATAAAAATGTAATGGGAAAAATATAGCATTGGATTGAATCATTGAACAGAATAATAATTCAAATAGAATATTTACCTGATTGATTAATATAATTTTTGTTAATTAGTTCATATAAATATCCAACAGATGCTTTGATAGATCCACTGACTGGTTTAACCTATGTGAATAAGTTGGGGGGGAAGTGATAAAAAACAATGAAATGTTTCCCAAGAAAAGTATTGAGGCATAAATCAATCATAGTGATTGTAGAATATGGCATGAATACGAAGCAGTTCTAGGTGCCAAAGCTCACAACATAAACACATTGAACGTAAAACAAAAAACTCTAAGTCATGAAAGAGCGAAAAAATATTGAACCCATTAGAAATCTAAACTTGACAAATATAATTACAGCCAAAGAGGTTATTTTTTCCTGTCATATTTTCAATTATTACCCTTTTAACAACAAAGATGGCAACAGACTAAAGAAAATATAAGTATATTCACTGACAAGATAGGCAGATACCTAATCAGTGAGAAGTACCTCGGTAATCATCTAAATATCGGTGTAGTATATAGCCTTAAACCTGAATAACTGATGTGGGATTCGAAGTGTTAAAAATTAAATCATAATTGTACACAAAGACTAATACATCTCAGTAAGCAATTTGAGTGGTGGTCATTATTAGATAACTGTTCATGAGAAGTTATTTAAAATCAAACTATAATTCCCAGAAAAGAATTTGAAAGTGATGACATGGAACAGAGTTAGATCTAAACAATTGTGTACTTTGTAGATTATTAGTTGTTAGGATGTGCAGAAAAATATAACAATAATTATCATGTTAACTCTAATGGTGGCCTTGGACTTTAAATGTACACTCCCTATTGGTCGATATATATTTCACTTGTTAAATATTGTACAAATGTTGTTTTCTATTTTATGGTACGATGTGGTTTGTTTGGTTGGTATATAAACAAAGTATGTCTGAAATATAATGATTCATATCTCAGAGGCTGTGACTTGCGTTCTGGACACAACTGGCTGGGCTAGACAGCAAAGCAGGGCCAATCAAAACCCTAGACCGTTCTTACGTGTTTTCCATGTCACTGAAATCGATCGATAAAGCGCTGCTCCATAATCTGCAGTCACACGTTACAACATTAGTAAAGCCCGACGCTATGAATGTATAAATCAGACTTGAGAATAGGTCATTTATAAAAAAGTTATAATATGTTTACGAAATTCTAGTAGACCAAACAGATGGATAACTAGCTTACTCTATCAATGATATATCTATCTACTGTAGGGAGAGTGTACAACACAGTAGTTTGCTCTTTGTTTTACTTCATAATTGTGAAAACTGCCCTTTAGAAGCAGAGAACAGGCGTAATTAATTAATATTTAACCATAGATATCTTCGAAACATCCAATACAAATCGTCGAATAACTAAGTCAATACTGTTTCATTTAAATCTACAGTACTAGGTAAAAATGACAAGTCGGTCAAAGAAAAGCAATAAATTAAATGTATATTGAATTTTTAACAATTAATGGTAACAAACAAATACCAAATTAAACTTACATAATAATTTAAATTTTCTCGATTATAACTAGTTCTTAATACTAAACATTTGTCTACATTAAGACCTAACATATTTTCTATATCTACAATGATTTCAGTGGTTGCAGTTGCAGTTAAACCAATAATCGGTACATTAGAAAATTGACGTTTTAATACATGTAGAAATTTATAATCCGGTCTGAAATCATGACCCCATTGACTAGCACAATGTACTTCATCAATAGCAATACAAGCTAATCGATTTGTTGAATAAGCAATCTCTAGACGATTTAATAATAATTTACTTTTAGCCAATTTCTCTGGAGTTACATACAATAAGCGTAAATTAGATTTTGTTGAAATATTTGTTTTGTTCTAAATTTAAAAAAAAAGAAATAAAAATAAAATAAAGACATAATTAAATGAAATTGGAGGAAATGTTTTCTTTATTTGTCGATACTGTTGCGGTGATCCAGAAAATTGCTTGCAAAAGACAAGCAAGCATCAGGAAACACTAAGAAGAGTTTCATCCAATTAGCGTTCACTTGAAGTCTTAGCCAAAAATATCAAAGAAGAGAAACGTCACATGCAGAGGCTCTGACTGGCTGGCTGCTACACTGCTACTATGTTTAGTAGCATTCCAGAATCTTCGAGCAACCCAAGGACATTTAAAATATTATAAAAACCCTGTATTTTCTGCATTAAAATGAACCTCGGAGTAAACTACTTCTCACATACTTTGAGTCTTCTCTCTCGTTTTCAGGTCGCTGTATAGTTCTACCTTTGGGTAACCCCAAAGTTAGTTACCGAATAGCTTAGGAAACGAATATAGCGTTCAATCCTCAAGACTTATCAGAAACAATTTATTACATATTATCATCATTGAGTTAAATGGTCGAATCAAATATAAATTGGTCTACTACTTGAATATTAAAGGTACTTTTTCTAATGTGGAGATTAGGAGGGCAACGTTTAAATTTAACATCCTAGTGATTGAGAAACAAATTGACTAGTTGTTTCAGATGCTCCTCTGTTATACTTAATAGTTGGTTTATTTAGGTATTCAAACTTTTGATCAATTGATTCATTTACTGTAACTTTTACTGATAAATCACTGTTTATTTTCATATAATCTAAGAGATAATAAACAACGCTTAACTAAAAGATATAAAATAGACAAAGGTTACGACAAATACATACACTTATAAATAAATGTTTATTTTTAACAGCTGAATTCACAAATCGATCTCACCATTCACGTGCGAGACCGAGGGTCCTGGGTTCGAGTCCCACGAGCGGGGTCGTGTATGTGCACTGCTTAGGAATCCCATACTAGAACGAAACGGCCGTCCAGTACTTCCATGTTTTCAGTGGTGGCCTAGCTTAGATCGAATCATGAATTCAACTGTGAAAATATTATAAGCACCACTAATTCCTATACTGTTTATTTTTTTAAATCGGAATACGAATTAACTGATGAATGCTACTGATGGAATGATGGGAGAGTATAGCGGTGGTAGCTTCGAGAAAATGATTAGTCAGTTACTGGTTGATACTATCAATTATCGGAAAAATAAATTGAACATACAGTGAAGTACTTTGATTGAATAAAAAGTCACTGCCTATTAGAGAAATTTCCAGTTTCATTGTCTTCAATTGTATGGTCATAGGATAAATCATTGTAAAAAAAAAGAAGTGGGGCTACTGGTACCTTTACGTATTAGTACGTAACGTGGAATGATGCAGAATGTTGATTAACATGAAAGTGATTTGAAGAGTCAGGGGTTGGTACATCAACACATGGTATCAGTCCATGAATCCATGGACAGTAAGCTTTATCTGATTCCAAACTTTATGTAACTTGGTTAGTGCTTACGCGGATACCCTGTAAGTAATTTGTACAACTTCGTATATCCAATCGACTACAATAATATTCAGAATAATATAACAGAAGTCGGGATACACAGTATATGAGAATATATTTCAAGCATTAAAGTTAGCAAATGAGACAATCGGATGAAGGGTTTGAAAGTCAATTTAAAAAATCAGTCAACTTGCTAAATAGCATTCTAGTTAACACAGCAACACCTTTTTGTACAAAAACTATTTACAAAAACAAGTATACACATACTTATACATACAAAAAAACCTACATCTATAAATGTTATAATTAACTGTGAGAAATAAATACTGAATTACTAGCAAGAAAAAAGTAGCACATCTAATCTACATGATTGTTTAGTTTTACAACTGTTCGGACCAGGATAGATTTGTACAGGTGTTTCACACAAATAATTCTTACAAACCATGTCGGAAAGTGAGGACTTCCTGGTTTGGCTCTACACAATACTCAATAAATATAGGTTGAAGACGTCGTGTGACATGCTGTAAAACTAATCAAATTAACTAGATAATGCATTTATTCTTTATTTTTACTGAGAATCTTGACTTAAATATCGTTTTTGAGCTTTTTATCATTAAAGTGCATTCGTTGCTTTTGACCTAACAACATGCATCATTTCTAAACTTTCATTGTTTTTTAATATTATTTCCTATCCCTCAAGCTTCGAATATTGTTAATTATCTTAGTAGTTTTTGATATGAGAGGTGTGGGAACTTCGACTGAGGAATACTCATGACGGCAGTAGCTGCTATCTTGATGTGGTAGTTGGGTTTGCCTATCGTGATGACCCGATCAAGCTATTGGTCGGAACATATGCTCTTTTAGGTCGTAAGTACGTCAGGCACGTAGGTTGGAGAGTGGGAAAACTAAAGGGAGAAACTTTAATTCCAAGGGAGAATTCGCATCGCTGAATCTAGAAGGGTGTGACAGCATTAAGGTATTTCCCTCGAACAACCAGTATCTGCGGCGATGCTTCTTTCCCACAACTGAAGGAAAAGGTTAATCTTAAAAAATGCAACACCTTAACTTACCCCACGGATTTCCGTCACAGGCGATAAGGCTTTGTGAAACGCGAAACTAACATATCAAAACGTCCCATAAAAATAACGTAAGTGAGCGAACTCGAGGAGTCATCCCTTCGGTGCTGCGATCGAGCTCCAAGGTCACCAAGACCACCATTAACCCAGTTCCTTTTTCAGGCCCTGAAGAAATATCCCTCCATGGTGTGCGCAACCGGGAAGTGAAAGCCACCCCCATACCTCTAACAACACCCAAGATCACGTTGTTTACGATTATGATGGTGACCCTCATGCTTGGTATTATGTTGATCATGACTAATTGAGTGATTACTGAACATACAGAAACGACACTTTTAAGCAATCGATTAGTATTGTGTACGTATTTCAACCAGTAACAATAAACTAATTTGAAAATCCTTACTGAAGCAGACCAACATTAAAAAAGAACGTGAAATAAAATACAAGGATTTAATATTAGTCATTTGACAGTTATATTGGATTGTAAGATAGGTGTCAGCTGTTACAAGTGAATTTATTGAGGGAAGTGTTAAAATATGAAACAATGTACGATTTACATCCAACTCATTGTACTTTTCATTTTCCCAATCTATTAAAAAGTATTGAAACTTGAAGTAATGTCACATTGTTTCAGATAGTGAACGAGTGTTTGACAAAAGGACAAGCGCTTTGAATTTTCGCACTAAATAAACTTTAAACCATATCAATAATGATTCAAAATTATAAATATACCTCGTAAGAGGGTAATTTTACATTGGGTTTCATGAGAATCAAACACCAATCAGGCTTTTACATGACCCGAACAGTACAACTCAGTTCTGTGGGGTAACCATACAGATACCAAGATCCCTAGTGGACAAATACTAATATTAATATTAATAATATTAATAATAATAATAATAATAAATTTATTAACTAACTGATTTTTCTGCAAGTAATGAGAGAATTCGACGTTGTTCTTGTAACGGTGTATTCGCATCTAAAACTGCTATTGTATCTGGTTCGAGACTGTATCTGGTCAAGTTAATCGACTGATCAACCATTAAAGAAACCAATGGACTTATAACTAACGTTAATGAACCACGATATCGTCCATTCACTTTGAAAGCATTAACATTAATTAATGCAGGTAATTGATATACCAAGCTTTTGCCTGCGCCTAAATATTATATAAAGAAAAATGAATAGAAAACATTAAAATCATAATAGATATTTCATTTATTAAGATTCCATAAAGAAAATTATATATATAGTTCTTAGGAAGTTAACGTTAGTAAAGCTGTAATGAGAACGATGTATAAATCAGTGTGGGACTGCTTATTGGTAAGAATAGTACTTGAAGACAATTAATTCACAGATTTTGATGAAATTAAAGGTGCAAACACTGAAAAGAACAAGTTCTAGTAAAAGATTTATCGATCATTCAAAGACATTTGTCATTTTTTAACTGAGCAACGTATAATCAGGGAAGAAAATGACTTGAAAAAGTTATTTACATCTACAGGCTTTACATTTTTAACGAAGAACCAATAAAAAATCAGATTTCATCTATGTGTATGTTCTTGTTAGAGTTTTGGGTGATGATCGATCAACTTATGCCTTATTAATACAATGATTTAAAACCTTCTACCGAATTCCGGATAAAACTTTAAATTTCTAGACAAAATTACTAGGATACCGTTACTCTATACTTCAGAGCATCAGTGACATCAAACTAATGTATCTTCAAATATCACATCGAAAAGTGCTTACACTTACAATTGAGAATCCAGGCTGCTTATTTTTTAAACAAACATTATAATAGGGATATATGAATTAACTTTGAAATAGATCGTTTAATCATGCTTCAAAGTAAAAACAAACCTCCTTGTCATAAATCGATTTAGAGCGAATGATCGTTTTCGATAATTTCTTTATCAAGCTCTACACAGTTATAAATCCAAAATTATTACTATTGTCATTATTACTGTGTTACGATAGACTAAATGTTTAAATTGGATTAATCCATGTTACAAATTAGTAAATGGAAAATCCCACGTCGTTTGCACCCTACATACTACAAATTACTAACAAAACAAAACAACCTTTTCGGTGTTATTAAGAAAAGGTTATACATAAGGTGTAAGAAATAATTATTTGTTTTAATTAAAACGATGATCAGCTTAAATCAATAAGTTGAAATCGTATGTAACAACATATTTAATACAAATTAGGAATTACCGTATCGTGGCTGCTGTTGTGTGGTGTGCTACTTATACGAACAGATATAAGTAGTATTTATCAGTAATTGGAAGCAGGATATTTATTGACAGAAGCGGAAAATGAGAAGAGAGAAAAACAAAAGCAGTCAAAGTAGCAGCAGCGATGGAAGAACGATAGTTTGTAAGAGACAATTCAAGGAAGATGTGAAAAATGGTATATTTAATGTACTGTTTCCATATTTTACGAGTAGTGTGTGATTTTGTTTGACACAAGGTTCGCTCATTAGATTGCGATGATAACAATAGTATTAATAATAATAATAATAATAATAATAATAATAATAATAATAAGGCAGCAATAAGAATAATTTTGAGTAAGAATATCACGTAAATAAGAAAGATAAGTGTATAACTAAGGATCATAGAAATGTCTTGAGTGCGAAAACCTTAAGTGCACAATATTTGCTGACAAACTCATCAGACAATCTTAGAGTAACAATGAGGTCTCCCTGAGGTCCGACTTTCGCTGATTTTTTTCTAGCTAAACTGAAAAACAAACCATTACATTCAATTTCACAGGATAACGCTTGGCGTCTAGACCACTGAGCCCGGTATCCAACGGTGCTTGTACTAAGTATGTTGATACATACGATTTCAACTTATTGATTTAAGCTGATCATCATCTTAATTAAAACAAATAATTATTTCTTACACCTTATGTATAACCTTTTCTTAATAACACCGAAAAGGTTGTTTCGTTTTGTTAGTAATTTGTAGTATGTAGGGTGCAAATGACGTGGGATTTTCCATTTACCAATTTGTAAAATGGATTAATTCAATTTAAACATTTAGTCTATTATGACACAATAATAATAATAATAATAATAATAATAATAATAACAGTAAGTGTAATAATTTTGAATTTATGATTGTGTACAACCTGGTGAAGAAGTAATCAAGATCGATGATTACCTGGTGTAGACTCTGCTGTTGACTGTTCTATGGGAATTTTTAAATTAATATCAATCTATGATGGAAACTATTGTATTACGAAGCAAATATGAAATTTTTGCATTAGCAAAGTATCATACACCTAATAATCGAAAACTTACTTCTAAGCTATCATTGAAATAAATAATGTTTTAAAACGTGCCTACCCACCTACCTACCTGTAGGCATAACTAGAATTACATCACGATCATCTAAAACTGCGTTAATTGCTGTTATTTGTAAAGGACGAAATTCGGAAATTCGGAAAATTTCTTTTCTCACTCGATTCACTTCTGAAGTCCATGGGAATAAGGATTCTGAATTGTATTCAGATGATGTACCTAGAGAACTTGAAATTTCTTGAACACGGGCTGTAGTTAATTGAGATCTTAACTGTGAGTTACAATAAAAAAAGAGAGAATATAAATCACACTATATACAAAAGTGATTGGTAAACAAGGTAGTGATCAACTATAGAACAAAATATTAAAAATCATATCCCTTTGTAAAACTTTTGAATATTTGGATATACTTGTTAATGCTCAGGTCTCTACTTTTGTTGAGGAGTCCCCTGTTAAGACGAAACGGCTGCCCAGTGCTTCATGGTCATCTAGATGAAATCAGCTAATGATGCAAAACTATAATAAAATCGTTAATTTTGTTTCACAGTCTTCAGGGTGACCAAAAGTAAATAATGGATTGACAGATTGAAGACACTAACTCAGGGGCCTGAAAATGACGCTTTTACCACAAAGCTTAAAAGTTTTAAGTTTGATTCATAATAAGATCTTAGATGAATGCCAATAAAGAAAAATATAATAGAACGAAAAATTTATGATTATCTCCTGTTTTTAATGGTGTTTAACTTGAGTCAGTTCGCGACGTATACTTTAAATTGTTTACAGATATATATCGTCTCGTGATTCAATATTGTGAATAAGATGAACTCTTCTTAGAAAACTGTTTAATGTGGAAACTAGAGTCAATATAGCAAGAGCTGAAATATCTTCGAGAAATAACAGATATAAAAATGAAATTATATCTCAGTAGTTTGTCGCACAAACCAAATCACATTCGATGGAGTTCCGGAAGAGGTGGCAACTTTTACATGCTTAGGCAGTATCACTGATAAACAAGGGGTATTTGATGCAGATGTGAAGGTACAGGCTATAAAATCAAGAACACCAATCCTAGTACTGAACATATGGAACTCAAAACAACTGTCGGGCAACACAAAAATCAGAATTTTTATAACAAATGTCAAGACGGCTCAACTGTACGGAGCTAAGGGTTGGAAGACTACTACAACCATCATCAAAACGGTAGAGGTATTTATAGAAGGTTTTCTACGCAAGAAACTATATATCCGTTGGCCAGATATCATCAGCAAAAGCCTACTGTGGGAGAGAACAAACCAGCTTTCAATTGAGAAAATTAGAAAAAGACGCTAGAGGACGGTAGGACACATTGCGGAAATCATCAAACTGCATTATGAGGCGAGCTATAACTTAAAATCCACAAGGCAAAAGGGAAAGTGTCGGACCGAAGCACATATTGCGCCGAGAATCGGAGGCAGATATCGCAAGAACATTCAACAATTATGTGAAATTTATATTCTTGGCAGCAAAATCCGTTGAACAAATGTAGTCATCTAAAGTCCTTACGACAATTTTAACTGGAAACGTCTAGAACTAAATACGGGGAACAATACTGTTAAGTTAATTAGCTTAATAACCACAGTGTATATTTCGATCCAAAGATAAATTAACTGACAAAGAGGATTAATCACTAACTGACAGGCAAGAAATAAACTCACCACATATAGTAATGATGAACTGAATAATTTTATGAGTGAAGTGACCAACCACAGAAATCCACTGGGAGTTTAGTAATTGGAAACAACTCTAATTTTAATCCTTACATCACAAGTTCAAAAAGTAATATCATGGAAAAATTGTGCCTAACACAGATAACTTTTAATTTATTAGTGAAGAAGTGTTTGAGTAATCTACGAAACTCATATCCTCCAATTACTTATGATATTATTTCTGTATCCAGCATTTGGTATAAAACACATTTTATCAATGAAAGACTGATTCATTAAGATAACAGTTTAGTCTTTTGTTTTGATACAATGATCAATAAGAATGTTAGAAACCTACAACTTTAATTTCTTTTTTCAAATGACCAATGAAATTTAATCATATTTTAACAAGGAGAAATTATATAACTATATCTGTCGGTCATAGACGGTTAATGATTTATTTAGTAAATTATTCATTAATTAATTGATGTAAAACACTACTGAATTCAATTTATGCAAATGTGACTGTTAATAAAAGTTATTAACCAGTGCAAAAAGTGGTTTATTCAGATAGTATTTTGATTTATTTTGGGAGTTAAATAAATCCTCATATAATGTCATCACGCTCTTGATTGTGTCATGTGATTTATGGATCCCAGTACCAAATACTAAGTCAGTTAAGTATTCTTCAGATGCAATAGATTTTCGTTTATTCGCGGGTTTCGATTAACAATCCCGTCTAGCGATAAGTTATCACTCGACCATATCATATAACTCATGAGACTGGGAAACTAAGTGATAGCAGTTTGAATCCCACAGGGGAGATCAGTACGGCCTGTTGACGAGTTGCCAATTAACATACAAACTAGGTTCAAGTTTTCCATTCGATTACTTCTAACTAAATAACATCAAAAACCCCACTTCACCGAATTCGATTTCGGCGACTACAATCTGACTAGTTTAAATCGACAAGTATTTGAAAAGTATTAAAATAATATAAACATGATAAAGTAATACACAGTAAAAAATTACTTGATCATATTGCACTTGTAAGTTTTCACGTTGATGATTTAATTCATCAATCTGTTTTGTGATAGAATTGATATTCTTTTTAAGAATTTTTAAAGTCTCTTGTATTTCTAGAAAATATAATAATAGTTAAAAACTATTTAAGTTTAGTTTATACAAGTTGTCAAATTGTTTAATTCATTTACAAGTTATCCAGCTATATATACACTAAAAACGAATTCAGTATAGGATAATAAAAAATGAGTGGTATGAATTAAGTGATACGAATTAGTTAAATTTAAATTATTGGTTGATAATGGAGGAATAAATTTCGACTTATAGTGTTAATAAATCGAAACGGTTGGTCAGTGATCCTTGATCGTTTAAAGCACTCATCGGCTGTGATAAGAAAGAAAACTGATTGTCAAGTTGAGTCACTTCAGAAAACCTACACATACTTATCCGGTTACAAAAATGGTGCTAGGATGGGATGTCAGTCAGCTACAACGTAGAACTAGGCATGTATGCATTGGTTCAAGTTGCCACACCTCATTAGCACTACAAGATGAACACCGAATTCATAGAAGCAGTTACTTCTATGATAGTAAAAAAGCATTTCATATAAGGATATGATACAAGGAGAAAGAATTAGTTCGTAGAAAGGTATAAAATAATCTCATGGTTTGAGAGAAGACAAAGAGTGTATACACCTACGCCATTGTGATTGATCCTGAGTCTCCAACCATTAGCTACGATAGTCATGCGGACCCCAAACAAGTAGTCTGCATCTACCAAAATGGTTCAGACTAGATGCTTAAGGACTGATGCCACGTCTTGGTTTGGCCGCTCCCAACTTTCTTCCAACCGTGCCCAACACTAATCAGCATTGCGCGTTGTGGTAATCGGTGTTCAGGCATACGTAACACGTGGACCAACCATCTCAGTCGATGAAGATTCACAACCTCATCAACTGATTTACCATCATTCTCTAATACCCTGTGTCTAACCTCACTAGTACCTACCCGGTGATTCCAGTAGATGCGGTCAATATTTCCGAGACATTTGAGATCAAATACTAGGTTGGCAAAAGCCAGACGAGCTTTTCGAATCCGTGCAGGGATTTCGTCAGACACCAACCTATTATGGCTTATCAGACTTCCAAGATAAGTGAAGTTGTTAACACGTTTGACTACTTCACTCCCTATCCTCAGTTCAGGTGTCGACGCAGACCAGTCCTGAAGCAACAACTTGCATTTAGAGGGAGAGAAGCGCATTCTAAACATTCCGGTATTGTTGCTTAGTGCTACCAAAAGAATCTGCATTTTATCACCGTCTTCACCGAACAGGACTATGCGTATTCTAAGTCAATAATCGGACCTTCTGGTAGTACGATGGGATTAATAGCTTGAGTTCATTTAAAAGTTGACTCGTCACTGATTAGACTTTTTCTAACTATTTGAAGATTTATTCGGATTAATCATTTGATACGGTCCTGTGAATAGAAGTTCAAAAACTTTGCATCATAATTCTTTTTAGCCATGACTACTGTTGTATTACGTTTGTCAGTGTTGCCAACTATAAAAGTTCTGTTTCCTTGTGTAGTTTCGTTCTCTAGACAAGACGGGTTATTCACGAACTTTCATTGCTCTTCTGATTAATATCATCAGCACAAACTTCAAATAAAAGTGAAGTATTCGAAATTTATTCACACATGACTAACAGCTTGTCTTATCAATATTGATCTCGATTGGTTATTGTTTGCCTTCAACCTGTCACTGCCTGCATCTTTATTTTGATTATCTCTCCCATTCGACTTGATTACTGATCCTATGTTTGTCCATGATTTTTCTGATTCTTTAATAAATCGAATCGATTTCGATTTATTTATTGATTGCTAATTGATCGGAGTGTCGAGCTTCTAAAAATTCTGTGGTGTTCTTAATGTTCTCTATCCAAAATATCACATGAACATGTGTCCATAATGGTCCACATGCATTGGTATAAGCAAAAAAACATCATAGTGTTTGACCGCTAGTGGATGTATTACACTTGTTCGAAACCAGAACATAAACCACCAATATCACTTCAACCCATCTTACTCAAACCTAAGGATAAAATAACAAACGAAGAAAAACTGAACATCAAATACAAAATAAACTGTTCCGATTTTGAAAAATACTACATCGGACAAGGTGGGAGCCCCCTTCATCTTCGCCTGCATGGACAACAATTATCGGTCAAACACCATGATGTTTCTTTACGTATACCAATGGCATGTTGACCATTATGGACACATGTTCATGTCGATATTTTGGATAGAGAACATTAAGAGCACCAGAGAATTTAGCAATAATAAATAAATCGATTTATTAATTAATCAGAAAAATCATGGACAAACATAGGATTAAATCGGTAATAGTAGTATATACTATCTACAGTAACCATCAAATGGGTATTAAGAATAAAAAAAATAATCCAAAAGGGCTGCTCCAACTATAAAGAAAAGCAAGTAGCTAAATCTCTCCATATATATTGCTTAATCATACTGCCCTTAATAGAAAAGATCTTACCATCCAACAAACTTGGACCAATTATCAAAGCTACCATATCTGATTCGACTTACGTCTCATATTACCACATATGCAATCAACATACAGCCATTATATTCCTCACAAAAGTCAACTCAAATAAAATCTTCATCTGTCATCTGGTTTTTATTTTCTTCTTTGAGTCATATACATCTCAGTACCCATTCTCTTTTAAATACCAGTTTCCGTAGATATAATAAACTGATATAAATCTGAAGTAAGGACTTCAAATTGAACAACAATCTTAACAAATCAATTATATATTGATGATTTGAAATAAATTCACGATGTAGAAAGTACGAATGATCAATTTACTAAATACTGATTAAGCTTTCGTTAAGAAGTAATGTTATGTGAGTTAAATACAAAGTATATAGTGCTTTAAATGGGAACTGATCATACTCTACACACAAAAAAAAACTCGACAATTATGGTAAAGAATTAGAAAATAATTTCAAACAAACAACAAAGTGCACACCTTGTGTTTTAGATGATGATGAATCCATTAAGATGAACAGTTTTCAAATAAAATAGTACTGAAATAACCAATGAATTTAAAATGAAGAAAATTAAAGGTTATCATCAAATAGAAATAAAATTACACTACGCCAAACTGTACTTTTTTTTCCTATCTAACATTAAGGATTTAATTAGTTTACTAAGAAGAATTACCTGCATCAAAATATTTGTACCTGATAACTAATAGTAATTAAAGTTAGAAGCATAAATGATTGAACATTAACATTTCGAAGTTTCGTCACAAAACCTGACGATCCTAAGTTTGATCCTTAGCGAGGAATCTTATGCTATGATTAGAAAGCTACTCAGTAATTCCTAGTTTTTAACGGTTGGCTAGTCTGTGATGTAAGTATGAAATACGCAGTTGAATGCTGTTTCCTATCAGGTTTAAGTTCACTCCTGTACGGGGTCATAGATGAAGAGTGTTAAAGAGTTCCGAAACCATAAAAAATAGTTTTCCAGTGCTTTATGGCTTTTTGTAACAGTTCTCTAAGTGATAGGATTTCGTGATCCAAATCGTCCTGAAATTTTATTAAAATATTTTAATCATCAATCAACTTAAAGAATAAGTTTCTCTAACCACAGGATACCTCAACCATAACTAAAATTTCTGATTACATTGTACCAGATTTTCGAATCTTCATATATATTTGGGAGTTAAAGGTATATATGTTAATAAGGCAAACTGAAAAACTATCACGTAATTACTAAGTCTTGCTGATGGGTAAAAAGACACTATCCATAAGTTGTAGTGAAAATCCGACTGAGTTGATTAATGAAACACAGTTTCATGATATATTAAAGTACCACAATTATAAAGCGACAAGCTATGGATTGTTTTGTGACATATTTCGAACGATTCTATTTTACGTAATTAATCTATCAAATCTATATTCTAACTGATCACGCACACAATAACAGAAAGTGACATATGTTTATGTCACTTAAAGTTGGTGCAGATAGAAAACTCTGACTGTTAACTTGTATTCCTTAAATATATTTCTACTACCTGTCGGCTTAGTGACTTTAAGATGAATAACGGTTTGAAATTACCTGTAATTGAATAGTATGATCGTCTTATATTTTGTAATAACGATCATGTTATATAGAGTATATTTGTCTTTTGACAAATATTTCGGTGTTTTTACCTAGGGACTAGATAACATACAAATATAGGGACAGTACGTTAACTTACTGTTTAACACTAATAAAATTACTCTCATATCATGTAAAAAAGATTTATACTTCACTCCCGCTGTATATGTCAGAATTGGTTACTAGTATTTAACACTAATTATAATTTGAAAAACATCTAGTGGTTGAAAAACAATGTGGGCAAATTCATATGAACCAATAATGGTTGAAAATATACGTGATCAAGATTGGGAGATTTCGCACCAACCCCTAATACTTAAACGGACTATTAATTCAAAAAACAATCAAAGCTTTCTATTGGTTAACGACAGATCGTGGCTAAAACCATCTTGATATTGAAGTACCTTTTACAATCCACCCCAGTAGGTAGTATTCCTGTTGGATACTAGCTAACAATAAAATTAAGTGCATGTGTTTCATTCTAATTGGGACTTTCCAGCTGGATATCCCTGCACCCCAGCGTTAACGCTCACATCGAGAACCTTTAACTTGAAATACCAACCTGTTTTCCACTGAGTCCAGACAGCCGCTATATTTCGTCAAAGGTATGCATTTTATTTGTATGAGTTTGTATTTTTCTATTGTTTGGTTTAAGGATTGCAAGTGATTGTAAGTGCAGGAAACTTAAATGTATAGATAAAATGAAACATGGATGACTTCGATTTGAACCTAGCCTATTATTTATGTCTCGGTAGATGAAATAAACATTTATAGTAAACATGTATAAATGAAATTTTTTGAACTCTCCATAATCCATCAAGAAAATATCACCAGTACAAACAAGGGTCGCTAACAACCAAACCAGATGAGGGTCAAAAGAAAAAACTGTCAGAAATATGTAGACGTATTTGAATAGTTTACTTCTGTCTAAAGATTGTGCTGATGTTGTCCAGAAGAACAGTGAAATCTTCATGATTAAACCACCCGGATCGGAGCACGAAGCTTCACCAAAATCATTCTCCTGAGCTACAAATCTTTATCATTATCTCAGAATAAATATTAGTCGATAGATCACATCGTGCAATAGATATTAATATCAAAAGACACACATCAGTGGTGAGTTTTTCAAAAATATATATTGTAATCCTTAATTTGAATTATTATATATATAGAGATCTTTACAACAAATATCCAAAGTGCATTGATGAAAGAATAATTTATTAATAACAGTTCATCTCAACAGTTGAAACATTGTAGTGAAAAAAATATATTCAGTGACCAAGTAACGTACACATATATCACAGTGTTATTTCATTAAATGCCTAAAAACAAAAAAGAAACACATTTTCACACTGATCGTTTGCCAAAATTAATTTCTGAAGTAAAGAGCCTGAGAACGTACTTATTATTGTAATTGAACTTAACGACTAAACAGTGACGTTTTTAATGAATTTTCGGTACGAATACAAAAAAATTCATTTGTCCAATTGCCAACTTAGGCTGCCTGTATCATAGGTATATATACGATTACTATCCAAGTTTGTGAAAGTTAGCCTATAGATAACATCACAAGAATTTGAATGAAAGGATCTTTAAAGCATTGCTCGAGTATGATGAGATCATCAAGTGGATATGCTGAAAGTAAGCAAACAGGTTGGAACCTGTGGTATATATGTCTAGCCAAAAGTTTACATTACTGAATAACCCTGACCAGAATAGAAGCAGTTTGTAAGAAGATAGAGGCGACCAAATGAAGATTTGGGACCAGGACATGAAGTGATTAGCTGTTGATATGAGCCAAATTAGATATGGATTGTGGTTAGTAGTGGAATTCGGGAGGTGCGTTTCGTCCAATGTCGGAAACGTCAGCTGAATGTGCCTGCATCCCAGAGTTGACGTTCATTCCAGGACTCGAACCCAGTGCTATTCTCAAGCACCATCGCGTTTTCCACTTAACTACTGAGTTCAGATAGCCACTAGCTTGTACAAAGGGGTGAAGTGTAACTCATTTGTATTGGTTGTTTTAATCTTCCCATTGGTGTTTAGGACTACAACCGATTGGTATCTTCTTCGTGTACACGCACCCTGTGCGGACTGTCTCTACATTGTTCTAAGTTACTAGTGGTCAACTTCTTGTTCAATGTATTTGATAATAAGTACGGGAATCATTTCCCCAAATAAAATACTTTGTAACTTGTGATTTTTTGTCAGTATACATAGTGCCAAGTAAATGGTAAATAACAAGATAATTTTCAATTGGCTAGACAAAGTATTCTCTGTCTGTCAGTTATAAATAAATTGAAGCCTCATAAAAATATGCATCGACCCGATTGGCCACACCACATTAACACACTAAAATAAACTGGTCACGATGAATAACAAAGTAGTATGAATAGTTGTAGGATTTTCAACAATAAAAATAGATAATCGAGAATATGATTCGAGGATGAATACTGAAAATAAAAAGTACAAATTAGTTTGATGACATAAGATCTATGAATAAACAAAAATTGACCATGACATAACTACAGCCGACTGATTTCAAGTCATGTTTCCTAATATTGGTCACGATAACCAAGTGGACACCAACCACAGTCCGCATTAACCAATGTAGCTCAGACTAACAATCAATGACTTCATGAACTCGTATCATATCTTGGTTTGGAAACTCTTAGATTTCTTCTAAACTAATTTATGCCTGTATCATCTAATCAGTTAAACATACTTAAACTATCTAGACTGTAAGGGTGTTTTAAATCCATTTCCTTGAGTTCGGTAACTGACTAATCAAACAAATGAAACAGTTATTTGATAACCACATTATCTTAATTTAGATAACATTTCCTGAGCAGTTTACATTGTGTAATGAAAGTTACTTTGTGACATATATCAATATTTTACAGCAATGTGTCAAAAGGCATTATACACAGATTTTCAATGGGATGATTTTTATTGGCTTTATGAATAAACAGAACCTTAGAAAAATATACGGAAAGAATAATCTATAAAGTGTTCAATTGATATTTTTTAGTTAGATTTAATGACAAAAACAGTATTGAGACAATTGAACTTGTATTTTACTTTCAGAAAGGTTTGTCAGCCCCACAATAACAGTTACCCAGTCCCCTCTGAAAACTGATTAAGAAATCTGTAATAAATCATAGAGTTGACAAATCTTCAAATGAGATCTCAATAAATTTCTAACAACATACCTTTGTGACCTTCGTCGATGTCGCTTTTTAGGAGAATTGATATTTTGTTCAGGAGTCTTTGGACATGAATGTGGGGATTGAGTAATTTTCTTTATTTTGCGAAGTTGAGCTGGAATAACTAAAGAACGTTTCTTTTTCTTTTTCGGCAAAACTACAGATTCACTGAAAGATATAAAATGTTAACTATTTCATTGTATATATATATAGTCAGTCAGTCAGTAACAACGTAGAACTTCGTACATATGTACATCAGTTCGAGTTGCCACACCACATTAGCACAGAGATGCAGTTGTCGAATCAAATCCCGTAGTGGTAGAGGTAGCAAGAGTATAAGCAGTAATCGGGAAGATTAGGGTTTGGAGATGTTATTTAAAGAGTATAATCCAGTGAAATAAATTTGGAAAGAGGAAAAAACTGACATGAAGGATTCAGAAGATTAGAATTTGGGAGAACACAGAGAGTGGATGCACCTGCGCCATTGCAAACGATTTTGAGCCATGTCATTCAGGGTCTCTAACCATCGGTTGCTATCATCTCGCGGTCCCCAACCAGGTAGTCTACACCTACCAACATGACTCAGTCCACTTGTCAGTGACTTCATGGACTTGTGCCATGTTTTGGTTTGGCCGCCCCTAGCTTTCTTCCAACCTACTCCTATACCACTGAACATAGCACGTCGA